CAGTATGATCTTGTATGGAACACAATAGGCTATTAATTTAGTAGAACTGGGGGTTTAATTTGTGAATCAAATTTGTAAATAAATGTTTTTGACATTTTAAAAATACTATTTGGTTGAACCTTTGCAAGCACAGGTCTATAACATGTTCTTGATTCTTGATATTAGGTCGGTATGTTTTCACCTCATTTGACCTCAAAGCAAAGAGGAAATGAGTTCACAGCTAGTAGAAGTGATCTGCCATTCATAGTCTTGAATGGAAGTCCAGTTTATTAATAATAGAGCTTTTCCAAACTAGGCTATTTTAAATTTGTATCGTTTTTCTGTATGTTGATTAAGCATGGAGGCGTGTGTGGACTGGTGTGATATCAAAAGTAGGTCGGTGTTAGGAAATACGTAAACTATGCTATGGCTTCCATCTAGTGGTCATAATTAGATTTACATTTTGAATCTTGAGCTATTGTCATGAGATTGTTAGCTGGGATATTGATAGGCTTGTGCATGCTTTTTTTTTTTTACAGTATAATGATTCAGATTTTTGCATAGTTTGAAAAAATACATATACTACAAAATAGATGTAATTTAATTAAATTACTAATATATATTGGGGGGTATTGTGAAAATTTTCCTTTGTTTTCCCATTGACCCTGTCACCAAGTACAAATGCTGATTACAGTTATGTAGCTGATTTAGTGTGGTTTTGTATCCTACCTGTCACTCCTCTTTGGGAATTTAACCGCAGTGCTTTGCTGTCTGGATTGGTCTTATATTCATTCCAACCAACATTTTTATAATCCACTGACTAACCTAACTCACGGTCATAATTAGATTTACATTTTGAATCTTGAGCTATTGTCATGAGATTGTTAGCTGGGATATTGATAGGCTTGTGCATTATTTTTGTTTTTACAGTATAATGATTCAGATTTTTGCATAGTTTGAAAAAATACATATACTACAAAATAGATGTAATTTAATTAAATTACTAATATATATTGGGGGGTATTGTGAAAATTTTCCTTTGTTTTCCCATTGACCCTGTCACCAAGTACAAATGCTGATTACAGTTATGTAGCTGATTTAGTGTGGTTTTGTATCCTACCTGTCACTCCTCTTTGGGAATTTAAACGGAGTGCTTTGCTGTCTGGATTGGTCTTATATTCATTCCAACCAACATTTTTATAATCCACTGACTAACCTAACTCACCTGATCCATATTACATATAGTAAAGGCGACCATTTGTTTTCCATTTTAAAACACTTTTTTTTTTAATTGATAAATTATGTTCTCTCCCGTTCATGCATGTGACTGATCTCTGATAATGCATGTGTCTCCTGTAAAACAGAGCTGAACCGTAATCTATCATGGCATTTTATTGTGGCAGGTTCTAGTCTGGTAGTGACTTGTAAGCTCCTCCCTCTGCCGTCTATGGCATTGTGGGATGGTTGTGGCATTGCTTTGCCCTCTAATGGCCTGGTGCAAAATGTGAGACAT